GAATAAAGGCAATATTTCCAAAACTTTAATGTAGTACTTCATTGAAAGCACAGGTTTTGCCTTCACAGACAGTATGACAGGAACACTACACACGCAGACTCAGATGGGCCACTTCCACTGGTTGGGGGGCGGCTCCTCTACCAGCGGCTCCCACGGCTTCCACTCGGACATCTTCCTCGATAACGCCAGCTCACACTCAGCCTGCGCGCAGGAAAAAAATCATCAGCCACAAATACTAATGTATACACTAATACTGTAAAGCAACCATACTTTTTAGTTAAGTTGAGACAACTGCGTTCACATATTCACCGACACCGTCCGGTCTGTATGAAGGCTGACGGGAACCAACCGAACACATCAGTGTGAAACAAACAGTAACTCTGTACTACGAGTGTGTCAGCTACTCTGGTGAGAAAAGCACTCTCAGAATAAAAGAGGCAGCAGTCTGTACAAAGCCACGCGCTCATTTAAAGACCTGGGAGCAATACAGTACTACCAGCAGCGTATTAGCAGTCTTCAAACCAGTCGGAATCACTTTAATCCAGGGATTCAATTTTAATCCCTGGATTAAAGTGAACCAGAATGATCTGGACCTGCGCTCCAACACCTTCCGTTACTAAGCTTGTCACTGTGTTCATGTATGTAGGCTATATATGTCATACACCCCTCTGCACTCGAGCTGAACACGAAGTCGTGACTTTTAGGTTTGTACATGAAGAGTTTTCCACTCAGCTTCATCACTTTGATCAGAGTGAGGCAGACTGACCGCGACCTACCTGGAAAATGACCTCTTCAATCTGACCGCTGTTAATTTTCTTCTCAAGCTTCTCAACATCGGGTTCCTGTGAAGAACACAAATCCTGTCAGTTCATCTAAGCTCCTCTGTCATTCGTCTGTCTGCTCACACACTGACCGTTTTCACGTGGCTGAAGCGCTCATTGACCAGCTGCTCCGTGTACTTCCTGTAAGCAGCGTCCTGCGGCATGGTCTGCAAGGACGCCAGGATCTTTGTGTAGAGGATCCTGAGACGCTGAGAGGAACAGCACAGGGTGAGTACACTGCTCAACTCCCTCAGCTTCAATGACAGCTCCATAAACGGCACACGGATAACACGAGTGTGATCCAGGACTAGTCTGGTCACAGTCAGGCGATGGGAAAGATTAAAAATGAGGTATGTGGTGCAGTCACCATCAGCTGCTCACCTCCTGTGGATTTTGAGACACTGCCAGGCCAACCAAGCCGGTCGTCTGGAAGAGAGGAAAAGGAGAGCTGTCCAAGAGTGGCTAATGTCAATGCTTTCACCTTTAACCACGTGACTCCAGCATCGGCACTCTGCCTAAACCAACCCTCAGTCTGTCTGCTCGCACTGTCAACAACCAGCTCCACAGCTGGTTTTATGACTTGGACGAGACACTTGTGGTTGTTAATCACCTCCAACAACATTTCCCTCCTAATGTGGAACTTCCTTAAAAAACATTCTCTGAAATCCATCAGCCCTCACCTTCAAATATGTGCACTTTATTAACATTACAGGCAGGTTTGCACTGAGCAGGGATTTTATTTTCCAGGTCTGTTGGTCCAGATTCGGGTCTCCAGTTAGCCATGTAAGGGAAGTATGGCTTAACCAGTTTCTTCAAAAGCTCCCACGGGTGTTCGGCTGACTTAACCGTGGGACCGGATTCAAAGTGTTCGGTGAGCTTTCCTTTAGTTTGCCACCTGCTCTGACCGGACACTTATCAAGTTAGCATGCTAGCACAAGCTAGCACAACATGCACAGCGCGCAAACGGAGGTGACAGTACCGTCACCTTAATAAAACTAATACAGCTGTTTTATTGTGTTTCTTACATTAAAACAAGACATGACCTTTACTCATACCTTCTTCAGCAGCCCAGCCATTCTCCAGACGTCAGGAATGCGTCATGATACTTCCGGCTGCTAAATATGACGTCGGTGTTGTCTTTTTTTTCTCGGCGTTTTGAAAAACGATTTGTTCCTGTCGTAATAAATGTTAAAAATTAGAAAACGCGGACTGTTCTGTGATCACAGCAGCGTAAAACTATATACATGCTATGTATTCACGCTAGCATAGCATAGGTCGGATGTAGGTACAAACATCTGAACGTTTTGCTTTTATCCAAGCAGGCTGAGGTTGTGTCGCTTGAAGTACGCGCACTACGCGTACTACGTACTGTACGAGAAGTGCGGAAGTAAGAGGCTTGTGAAATGGGACGGACTAGCCTTCGTCGCGCTGTTCGGGTTGCTTAGCAACCATGATACTAACCGCGAGTAATGTTACATACAGCTTTGTTTGACAGAAATGAAGGAGAAACAAATGTTTTGTTAGTCATGCATTTTCGTCATGACATCACTTTGATTAGTTGAGTATCTGAGGCTGAGACCACTAGTGATGGGCAGATGAAGC